GGAGGGAGGAGAGGAGGGAGGGATTGATGAGACCAAACGCAAGGAACGAGTCCCCCTCAGAACATGTGCATGTGATCCAGTTTCTGTTGATGACAGGGGTGGGTGTAAGCAAGGGGGTGGATGAGGGGGTGGTTTTAGAGCTAAGTGCTAGGGGTGTGGATGGTGGAATTGGAAGTGGGTGGGGTGGGTAGTACAGGGTATGAAGAGGGGAGTCGGGATGGCAGGGAGGATGAGGTGGACGATGCAGTGGGCGTGGGGGTGGAAGAGGACGAGGACGAGCCCAGGCGATGATCACCGGATGCTGCTCAACGTGGCGAGGATGAGCTACATGGCAAGCTCCAACGCAACGAGCAAGCAGATCAGCTGCATGCACAACATGCGGAGCAAAACCATGACGCCCTACACGAGGAGCAACCATGCGGTATCACTCAACATGGCGCGTACCAATGTAGCGTGCAACAGACAGAGACATGCTTCAATGTCTACGTCCAGCCACGCGTGGCCGAGGAACGCGCAAATGAACCCAGGGTCGATGGTGATCTTTACACGTACGGACTCGTCCAAGGCGGAGCGAGAGGTCGCAGTCGTGAAGGGTCCAGCTCGAGGAGGAAGATTCATCTTGCTGGAGACCGAGGAGGAAGGAGTTCAGATCGCTGTCCGAAGGTCAAACGTGAAGATCTCTCTGCCCGACCCACCCCAGGGATCGTGGAAAGCTGAAAGCGTGAAGGGGTTGAAGGAAGCAGCGCAATCTTTGTGCGGCAGCTTGCAGGAGGATCATCTAAGGCAAGTGTGGGAGGACCTGCGAACAGACAATGAGGAGCGAGCGGTCGAGCTGAGTGAACTGGCAGAGAATCTGTTCCAGGACACCTCAGCCAGCGGATTATTCGCGGCGTACACAACAGCAGCGCGGTCTCGGTCCTTGTTCACTCCTCTCAACAACGGTCTCGTCCTCGTCCATCCTGAAGAGAAGGAGACCAACATGAGCCCCGGGAAGGCAGTGGAGTCCCATCCATCCCTGGAGAAGCTCATCATGAAGATCGTTGCACATCTCGACGGCATGGCCCCGCCCGAGTCACCAACGATGGAAGTAGTGGAGGACGAGGAGGAGCTGATGCTGTACCTCGAGCAGTACGCCATGGGCCTCCGAACGCTGGAAGGCCTTCCGAAGCTGATGCAGGTGCTCATCTACAAGCGCACGCTCGTGTCTAAGGACGGCAACGATCCTCGCCTTGTCGCTGCCAACATCTTATTCAGCACCAGGCATTGGATCCCCGGGGAGAACATTCATGTCAAGCGATACCTCAAGCTCTTTGATGTGCCCAGCGCGGCGGAGGAGCAGGCGCAGAAGCTGACGGAACAACCCCCAGCTGACGCTCTGCAAGGGCTCAGAGAGGGCGTTGACTCCATCGCCTTCGCGGTGGATGATTCGACAGAGAACATGGACATCGACGATGCTGTCGGGCTGCAGTACGAGGGCGAGGGCGAGTGGGTCCTGATTCATGTGGCGGACCCGGCTCGACTGTGCCTGCAGGACACGGATCTTGACAAGCTCGCGCTAGAGAGAGCCTCTACCGTCTACCTCCCCGAGACCAGGATCCCCATGCTCCCCCAGACCTTGACGCGCAGTGCATCGCTCGCTGAGCAGCGAGACAACGACGGGCTGACGTTCGCTGTGCGGCTGGGCCACTCCGGTGACATCGAGGAGTACAGGATCGTTCCTTCGCGCGTCATCAATGTGAAGAAGGCCACCTACTCGCAAGTGGACGAGCTGCTGACGTGGAACCCGGAAGCGGCGCTAGAGGAGCGAGAAGGACGAGGGGATGCTGAGCAAGTGAAGAGCAGTTTCATCCTTCAAAGGCTCATGACGCTCGCAAAGCGTAGGATGTCATTCCGCATGCTACAAGGAGCCTTGTCCACACAGATCCCCAAGGCTCAGGTCACTGTCTGGGACGAGATTGTGAACGGGGAGAAGAGAAAGGAAGTCAAAGTTGAGATTTCGTCTCAGACTCCGTCGAGGATGATGATAGCAGGTTCGTAGAAAAGCTTGAGGGAAGGAGTCTATCTGATCTCCCTCCCCTCAGAGTTCATGCTTCTGGCGGGCGAAGTAGCTGCGAGGTTTGCACACGAGCGAGGGATACCCTTCGTCTACCGCACGCAGGTTCCTCTCCGTCTCCTACCTGCAGGTCACTGACGGCACAGAGCAGCTTCCTGTGCTCAAAGTTCCCGACTTTCCTGACCTCGATCACTTCCGAAACGAGGCTTGCAGGTGTTGATGCGTGACGAGAAACAGAAAGACCATGACGGCGATGGCAGGAACTTTCAACAAGTTCTGATGATGAAACCTGCTGTCAACCTTGTCATGCCCGCTCGTCATAACGGACTTGGACTCTCTCTTTATTCTCAGGTTGTGTACCATGAATGTCTGACCTCTTCATGCTGATATCCTGCTCTTCAGATCACTTCGCCCATCCGCCGCTATATGGACCTCTTGCTTCATCGTCAGCTCCGAGCTTCGCTGCTTGGCTCTGCTCCTGCATACTCTACGGTCGGCACCTACTGTCCTGTCTCGCCTCCCGTCACTTTCTCTTCAGGATCGCCTGCAGCACCTCATCACAAAGCTCGATCGCAAGGTCGCCGCCATCTCGCGCCTGCAGCGAAGCTCCGAGAGGTTTTGGATCCTCGAGTACCTCCGAAGGAAGGTGAAGGCCCGACCATCTGCTGCTGCTGCTGCTGCTGCTGCTGCTGCCCTCACTCGCCCCAGGGCCCCGACATCATCCTCTCCGGCACGGTCCTCCGATCCTACAACCCTGCGGGTCTCGTCAGCCAAGTGTCCATCCTGTTGGACGAGCTGGGACACATCGAGACGGTAGAGGGGGAGGGGGCAGAGGTCGGCGAGTCCAGCTGACTGTGCGCAGCTGCGAGTGGCCGACAAGGCGCCGAAAGTTGGGGCGAAGGTGAGGAGGAAGGGAAGAGGGCCCTCTAACGTGGAAGAAGACTAGAGGACAGGAGGAAGACTAGAGGGAGGGGCCTGATAGACTTGGCAGGTAAACGTGCAAGTCAAGGAGTGCAACCCGGTGATAGGGACGATAAAACTTGAGCTGGTCAGATTGGAATAAAGGAGATGTGAAGGGGTGATGAGGAGGAGAGGAGGAGGACAAAGAGAAAGGGGCAGGCAGGTACGAGAGGCTTCTTCTCACGATAGTGGTATATTCAAGGTGATTCATTAGAATGCACGCTAGACAGAGGAAGAGAAGAGGGGGTGATTAAACTGTGACAGTGACGGCATAGGGAGATCCCGACAGGTCTTGAGTGAAGTAGAGTCTCGTGGAGGGAATCGATGAGAAGGCTGCAGTTGACGACCCGTCCAAGACCTCGATGTTAGCGGGGGTAGTAGGTTTTCCATCCGCTCTCCAATACTCTGCAGTGACATCATAGATTCCATCCACAGAATCAAAGATGTAACCGCCTGAAGGCGTGTTGCTATCCAGAGATGTCCACTGATCGATGATGAGCTTGTTGTCGATCCACAACCTCACGCGGTCACCATTGTCAGTCGTCACTTTCCATTGGAAGTATCGTTGGCTTGTCAAAGTCTGGTACATGCCACTCCATCGGATGACGTACCCCTCAGTCGACGAAGTCAGCGCACTGCTGCCCCATAGCGTTGATGCTGCTTGCGACGAGTCCTCCACCGTTCCTCCGAGCTCTGTCAGCCTCTGGTTGACAGCATTGCCGTTAGTCAGTACGTTGATGGGAGCAGATAGAGCAAGGGAGCTGTATCCGTTGCTGCTCGATGGAGTGCCTGCGTAGTATGTGGCTGCGATTCCTCCCTGGGCGATCCAAGAGGCATAGAGGTAATGGATGTACCCAGAGGGGGAGGGGGTAGAAGGCACCTGGTAATAGCCTGCATACCTCCCGTCGTCGGTCGGGGTGTTGAACGTGGCGTGGAGGGTCGGACTAGAGCTGATCGCCGTCGCGTCATAGAATGGCGGCAGACCGTTGGTGCCCTGCATGCCTGCCCCCGAGGTTCGCACTACCCGGACTATGAAGTCTTGATCGGTGGGTAGTGCCTGCGTCTTAGCATTGCCGTACTGATCTCGAGCTTGAATCGTGAAGACAGATTTGGCCGGTGAGATGGTCGCTGCTGTCAACCCGCTGCCCTGGATGGTCGACTGTGCTCCACAAGCATTTCCTGGCTTGATAGTGGTTGAAAAGGGTGAACCCAAGATGTTATATGCTCCGTATCTGACATACAGGTTGTAATTGTTTGCATCCACAGCAGTGTAGGATGCTGTGTAGTTTCCAGCGCCATACCATCCGTTGTAGACTGCTCCGTTGTAAATCACTGAGCCTCCACTTCCAAACAGATCCACAGTGAAAGAAGCGTCCGTGTCTTCGCGAGAGTTGGAGTAAGCATCCTTTGCCTGAATGGTGAATGTCGCTGGAACGCCAACAGTTGTTAATGTCAATCCGTTTCCATGAGCAACAGACAAAGAAGCGCAAGTAACACTGGGGAAGATCTCAAGAGTCGTCTGTGTGGTGTTGTCGGACCAGTCCTTTGTGATGCATGGAGTTCCGGTGCAAGTCAAGCCAGTATTCGGTACATCATATCGCTGGAACAGTCTATCCGAAGGAATGGTACCCAGCGAAACGTCGTTGTTCGCATTGCCCGTTGGAGTGCTCTCCCACTTCAAGTTGTACGCGCATTGGCCTGAGGATGTTGCACACTTGTAGAGCAGACTGATGTCGTAGTAACCATTGCCATTACCGAATCCCATCGTGCCAGAGACGGTTGTACCATCAATTGACGTCCACTGCTGGATGATGATGCTGTTGTCCACCCACAACTTGACTCGTTCGGTGCTCTCTCCGATGGAGACCTGGAAGGTGTACTGGTTGGCGAGGCTAGGACGCACAAATCCAACCCATCTGACTCCCCAGGTGCTGGATGTCAAAGACGCAATCGCTTTGTTACCAGCCTGAGCTGCTGACCAGTCTACGAGGGGATCTACTCTTACTGATATTCCGTAGTCAGAGTACGAGTAAACTGTTGTGCTTTGAACTGGATCTCCATCGTAGTAAGTTGCAAGAAGTCCTCCACTATTGACCAGAGAAGTAACCACAGTGTATCTGCCCTTCTGTGTCCCGGTGAAGTAAGCCGTGTAAGTGCTGTCTTGGTTATCCACGACATTCGCTCGAATGAGACGTGGGCATGTCGGACAAACTCCTTCAACATCGGTTCGGAACTTTCCGCCATCTTTGACTGACAAAGCTCCTGCCCAATTCATTCCGTCTCCATCACCACCGTCGTTCATCTGAGGGGCAGGGTTTGTCAGGTGGCTGCAAACAGGATCGTTTGTTCCTCCACAAGTCTTAATGGCAGGCCCGTATGGTTGGCAAGTGGCCTTTTGCTCGATGGTGTTGTCGATGGTCTGACAACCATCCGAGAAGGCTCTAACGATGAACAGGTCACCTCCCACCCCTCGCTGGTTGTTATACGCATCCTTAGATTGGATCGCAAAAGTAGCTTGAACTCCAGCGGTTGCAATCGTAAGACCATCACCGTAGACTTCGCATTCTCGATGGAAGGCAACATTAGGAAGCACAGTGATACGTGAGGCTATTCCCTCAATCAAATGATTGACATACAAGCTGTCGCTGGGAACAAGCACATCGCCCAACTTCAATTGCAAATATGATCCGTCGGTTGGACCTCCAAAAACATTCTTATACTCAACCTTGATATCATACAATTGTTTGTCGGAAAAATAATCATACGGCACCGTGGAAGTTGGGTTTGTAGTAGATAAGGATGTCCATTCATCAATCAATAGACTGTTGTCAATCCATAACTTGACTCTTTCGTCGTTGTACGTTCCTTGTCCCAACGGCGTACTGAAAGTCCATGTTTGACCGTTTTGATTGGTTGTCGACATCCGGATGAATCCCAACCATCGTACAGAAAAGGCTCCATCGTTAGTCAAACTTCCGGGAGTCATCATATTTGAGTAAGAGATATTAATCGTGCCAACATTGCAATAAGCGTTCTCATAAGGCGTACCATCCTGGGTGATGCAGTCTTGCGCAAACTGCGGATTTCCGAAGTCTGGAGTCTCGTAGTAGGTTGCCATCAGACCTCGTCCAGCAGCTGCAGCATAACTAGAACCAATGCCTCCAGGCGTCTCGGACACGTACAAGGTGCTCGAGCCCGCCCTGGTTTGTACATAAGTGAAGGGATGCTTGTTTCCTGTGAACCTGTCGGAAGTGCAAACAGAGCTTACATCCGACCATGACGACCCAGTGTTCGATGGTACCGGCATGTAGAATCCATATGAGCCATTGGTACCGATGGGTCCCGCATTGGTGTTGGTATTGATCTGGTTGGTCATCAGAGACGTGTCAGTTGTTGCAAGGCTAATCTTTCCGATGCTGGTGCATGTAAAGAAGGTCCCCATGCTCCATGTCGCCCAATCGTAAGGATATTGCCCTTGCAAACATGTTGGAGGATCTGGATACATTCTTGCAAACAGTATATCTGCGCAAGAATCTCTAACATTCCCGTACATGTCCTTTGCAATGACCGTGAAGGAAGCGGTAACTCCAGCAGTGGCCAATGACAGTCCAGTTCCATTGATTGTGGAAGCCGTGGCAGAGATCAGGGTTGGTAGAGTGTCGAGAGGTACCTCTCCTCCGTTCACGGTCTGGGCTTCAACAAAGAATTGAGAAGTAGGAACAGTTTGCTGCGGTGTGGATGGTGAAGAGTACGAAAGTGTACAAAAGGAAATCGGTCCTTGAGTCTTGTATTCAAAGATGAAATCGTATAACACCCCACTGGTTGCTGTGAAAACTCCAGAGTAGTAACTAGCATTGGAACCCCACTGGCTAATAACCTGGATGCTACCCACTTGAAGTGAGACACCATAATCACAATTAGTGGTGAAGGTGTACGTCTCCGTGTTGTTCATCTTGATGTAGCCTGTCCATCTTGCACTAAATGATCCCACAAGAATATTTGGGTCGGTTGTTGGATTCGTTTGCCCCCAATTGAAATCAATATTAGGATCAACTTGAGTGTAAATTATTCCCGAAAGACTCGTGGTGCTGAAGTAGGTTCCCAACAAACCATTACCCTGCACATCTGCACTCATCACAGTCATGAAAAACGAAGCTGATTGAGTGATTAAGTATGAGATTTCGTATTTTCCGTACTGATTCCAAACAGGATTGTTTTGTCCTTCTGCTTGAAGCGTAGCCCAGTCTTGAGGAACAAGACTGCCATAGAACGGTGCCACAGAGCTTCCGTAGACTGAGCTGTCGGACAATGTTGCACGTGCTATGAAGGCATCGTCAGTAGAGTCTCTCTGGTTGTCGTAGGCGTCTCTTGCTGTCAGGGTGAATGTTCTTGTTACGCCTGCTGTGCTGAGGGAAAGAGATCCACCGACATCGGAAATCGTCGTTTGGCTGGCGCATACGACGGCTGGCTTCACATCAACTCGAAGCACCTCGTTGGTTCGAAGTCCTTTGCCCCTACATCTATTGTATCGGACGTTATCTCCCGTGTCTGACCACTCAGGGCACGCGCTTATCTTTGCCCACTGTCCTGGAGTCTCCTGCTGACGGTCTTCTAATGTTGAAACACCGCTCTGGAAGAAGTCAAGATCCCAGGCCTTGAAGTCATCTCTCTCGATGGTGGATGAAGTCCGTATTCTGAACAGCCTATTGGGGGGGATGACACCTCGTGAGACTGTTGAGCCTGGGATAGCAGGAGAATTGTCGCTCAACAAGTATTGAGCTCCAGCATTTTCCCATTGGAGGGCAATACTTCGCGGTGCTGTACTAGAACTTACTTTGTAATCCATCATGAGATTATAAAACTCATTGGGCTGTGCAAATTGATATGTGCCTGAAGGATCAATGGAGGACAAGGATTCCCATTGAGAGATCACGAGGGAATTGTCTATCCAAAGCCTCACTCGTTCGTCTGTAGAAGTTTGAGTACCGCCATGGATGGGTGTGTAGAAAGTGTACAGATCGGATCGGCTGGGTTGGACAAAACCAATCCATCGAACGCTAAATGTCCCAGATGTGATTGAACTCGGGTATGGACGGTCAGTGG